CGTAGTTTCTTAGCACCCCCTAATTTCATATGTAAGAACCTAATATAATTTAACGCATACCTCACACTTGAATGGTTTCAAACCGGTGTTGATCTGAGATATTCGATGATTTGTTAAATAGAATAAGAGTGACATACGAGCACCCAGTCCACCTGATGGTAAGTGAATGCTGTGCAGCTGTGGCCCATGGACATCTATTAGGAATCCTTATCCTCAATTAAGAAATGAAATGCAGATGCGTCGTCACCCATGAGGACTTAGAAGGAATGACTCGTTACCAGTTAAAAGGGTATCTAGTTCTCTACACTCAACAAACGAAGCTGCTATTTTATGCTGGTACTCTATGAGAGCATGGTACTATCCCGATCGAGCCGATCCATTCGTGCCACAACCACAATATAGCTGAAGCGTGGCTCTACCACGTACAGACAGACACCACCACACAGCATCATATCGTGATATAGTTATGGTGCTGTGTGGTGATGGTGTAAGACTATCCACTACCCCGTATCGTCCCGCGGGTGTCGTAAGAGGCGACAGAGGGAAACAAACTACAAGATGGGCAGCCGCGTCTCCCTGATTACAAGTGAAAATAATAAAAAACCGCGGTTGCCAACCCACCTGCATGGGGCAACTAAGGCAAATATGACGCAAGCCACGGGGGAAGCCTATGTTCAACAGAGTGGTTTTAAAGGCTGTAACGGTAACGATAAATTAAAAAAACAACCACGAAGTTCTAAAAACTCAAACTCAAACATTTATTGCTAAACCATAATGTACGCAAGATGTTATAAAATAATGTGAGACAAGTGTTATGGAACCTGTTGGGCACGCAATTTAGGGGCTATAGTTCGGCCGTTCAGAGAATGCGTTCCTGACACGTCGCGATTGAACTGACGACGTAACTTTGTAATGGCGTTGCAGTTACGATAAAAATATTTTTGCTGGTTGTTTACCGTTTTAACAATTGATGAGTAGTAAAACAACATTATTATATCAATAATCAATGAATGTTATAATTTTTTGCCAAACTGAGTGTCAAATAACTTGGTAAACAATATTTTTCTAAATCTATACTGCGCTATTACAAGGTTATGTCAGCGCTTTATATTTGTAGTGCTGTGCTAACAATAACAGGCAATAACAGTATCGTAATCTGTTCTTATACAGTTATACTTTATAAAATAATACGTTTTGTTTTTCTTTTTAAGAATTTGAAAACAATGGACTATAAGATAACTTTCATTAAATATAAAAATAAAACTACGACCAACCCGAACGCGCGAAAGAAAGTAGCATTTTTATATTTACGTTGAAAATGGTAACCCCAAATGGCGTTATGGGCCGCCATTTTGTGACGCTAAAACAGTCGTCTGTTGTCTTTCGTGCGCATAGACCACTTTCTTCAAGTGTTTTCGATCTGTTTTTATTTGATTACCCGGCTTTCGTTTAATGGACTGTTTCTGCTTTTCAAACTGACATCGGCGCTAAATCGGATTTCGATTGTGTTTTGTATTGCGTTCTTTTTACTTTTAGTGCATAATAATGCCTAAACGTGGACAAACATTGAAAAGTGGAGCCCGTGAGTTAATCATCAAGCTGCAAGATTACTTTGAGCGGGAGCGCCAAAATGGCGGACCCCTGTTACCTGTCGGACAAGTACAAGAACGCGTCTCTCAGGCGCTTGGAGTTAGCAAACGAACGATAACAAATATTAATAAAGAAAGTTCGGCTCTACTCAATGATATTATAAAGGAAAGATACGCTACGTTCATACTGAGCGGCGTTCAGATATCGTTGCGTTGTTATAACAAATGTAAATACATATACGTGTATAGTAATTTTTAACTACGACTGCGATAGATAATACGGAACGTAAAATACAGAAAGAGATAACTGTCTGTAGTGTATTGCGCTTGAAGTATACGAGTGAATTATAGAGTATGCGGATTTGCCACAGAAGAGACATTGAATATAACAATAGGCATATTACACTAGTAATGATATATTAAATAAAACTATAAACAAAATTGTTATATATTTATTTACAAACAAATCCTAAATAAATTTGAGTTCTGTCTATCGTATTTTCGATAAATTATGTACCTACTTATCGAATACCTACATAATTTACTCTTTACGTTTTTTTACTGATGGTCGCGCTACTTGGCAAATAGGAGCCAAATGACCAGACGTTAGGTAAGCCAAATTTCGGAACATCATCATTGTCCTGAAAAAGAATAAAAAGTCTTAATTGTTACTGTAAATTGTACAAGAATGATAGAAGTAATTAATTAACCAAAATTGACTGCACAGGTGGTCTAGTGATTTAAGTGCCACTAGTAACGCTGCGCCAAGTGCTGTGGGTTCGATTCCTATACGGGACAAAAATGTTTGTGACCCCTAAATAAACAAAAAACTTAAATTGCCCTTTTACACACAATAGTTGTAAAATTGAAATTGTGAAATTACAGAAATTACGACTTTTTTTTGTTAAAATAATGAAGTATCGTGATTTTTATAATAATAAATTTTACCGAGGCTATCACAGGTAAATATAACATAATGAGAAAAATTATGTTCTATCTAGGTACATTACATACATTTTAATTTTACTAATAAAATATCTAATAGCCCGCTATTACTAATCTCATTCTATATCATCTTAATTTTAAAACATTGAGTCACAATTATATATTATATTATATTATAATATTATGTTAGAAAGGCACTCACTAACTAACAAGAAAACTCGCGATCAAGCTGCTAACGAAGGCTATGTAATGTGCCTACGATTTCGCTTTTGGTTGTTAATCTATGACGCATTGTATTTGTCCTTGTCGCGCTATATTGGCAATCATATTCTCTATCCTTTTCGAACCACCATATTAACAATTCAATATTTATTTGTAAATGAGAAATAAAATCGTGACAAAATATAAATATGTAATATTATTTTATTATACTTACGTAGGTTATGAAATTCCTTCATTCTTATTTATCTTCGAACCATAGTTTTTACACTTTCTTAAGACACAACTTGGCATTTTGGATATGTTATTGTCAATATTGTCACGCCACGGACACGCTTTGTTTCGCTCGCTGCTATTGACCGACTAAATAAAATTACAACAATTGTCTTAATTTGTCTGCAACAATTTGCGCGCACTAGTGCGATATCTACCTTTTTTTATAATATCATTGGCTCTACTGGCACGGAAGATAATATTTTACGTACTCCGAAGAAGAAACGTAGAACTAAACCCGTGACAGATATTGACACCTTTGACGCCGATACAATCAGAAATCATATATATGGTTACTATTCCAGAAATGAATATCTCAACAGGAAGAAGCTTTTGGCATCGTTAAGAGAAGCTGGACTGTTTAGCGGGGGTAAAACTGCTTTAACCAAAATCTTAAAAGATATTGGTTTTTCGTATAAAAAAAAGACAAAAGAAAAATTTTATTAGAACGATACGACATAATTTTAAAACGGATAAGTTTTTTGAGAGGAGCAAAAAAATATTGATAACTGGGATAATGTCGTGTTCATTGACGAGACATGGCTAAACGCCAATCACACGGTTTCCCGTTCTTGGACGGATGATACACAAGCGTCGACGACGAAAGTACCAATGGGTAAGGGGGCCCGTCTGATAATATGCCACGCAGGTTCTGCAAAATACGGCTTTGTGGAGAACGCGTTACTGGCATTTCAATCAAAAACCACAAATGACTACCACGAGGAAATGAATGCCACTACATTTAAAGAGTGGTTCCAAAACGTGCTTTTGCCCAGCCTACCAGAGCCTTCTGTAATATTCATGGATAATGCCTCCCAAGCTAATAAAAAAGAAGAAATGGTGGCTTGGTTACAAGCAAAAGGCATTGACGCAAATATGCAGATGCTAAAACCAGAGCTAATTAAATTAGTTAAAGAAAATAAAGCGGCAAATGTGCGATACGAAATCGATGAACTGGCTCTGGTCATCGCGTTCTAAGAATTCCACCGTATCATTGCCAATATAACGCGATTGAGCTAATCTGGGCTCAAATAAAAGGTTACGCCGCCCGCCACAACACTTCCCCGCCATTCAGCACGAAAAAGATGATGACCCTATTAAAAGAAGCCTGCGGGGAAGTCACAAGAGATGACTGGGCAAAGGTTGTTGAGAAGACTAAAAACCTGATTGTGGAACATTTTGACCGAGATATCAGGATTGATTCTGTTATTGATAATAATATAATTATACATGTAGGCGAAGATGATGATGAAGACACCACCTCCTCAAGCGAATCGGAGTCTGATTAATATTCTGTACGCACATTCAATTCAATGTACTTTATTGCATAGAAATACAGATTGTAACTTTGTAACAAAGAATAAATAAAACAATTTTATTATATTAATATTACCTTTTTTTGCTTTCCACTTAAATTACTAAAATATAAATTTTAAATGATTCCGCCAATTTAAAACGAAAATAATCTTAAAAATAACGCGGCGGTTCATTTTGGAGGAACGGTAACGAACTCAGTGTTATGTTGTGCCCATCACTAGTCGTGACTAACTGATAGGTGTCAGCACAGAACACATGTACCCTGACGGGAAGAACGAAAACTTCATACAATAAAAATGCCAACAGCTTGCGACACTAGCGCGCCAGTTTTTGATCCATGAACTAACAGATGTGAATGTGTGCGTGTGTATATGTATATTCCTCATTGCCCACCCCCACATTCAATATTCTATTTTAATCATAATATATTACTATTTCCATTCCAATTTTCTACGAATGTAGAAATTACATTCTACATTAGTAAAAAATTGAAATGGAAATAGTAATAAATGAATAACAAATTGGAAATTTTAAATATTTAATAACACAAAACTTGAGAGGAAGATTAGAGTTAATAATTAGCTATGCATTGATACATAAGTAGAAAATTGGAACGGAACACGGTTAATAGTTTTTCAGAAATAAAACAATTATTTTCATAGAGATTTAAATATATTAATGACTAGTAATATAGACACAGAAATAAACTTGGGCACTCAATTTAAGATGATTATAGACGCATCTTAGAACACACCGTTTTCAGTAATCCATTATTATTCGTTAAACATCTTCATTAAGTAATACAACTCTGATAAATCACCATAAATTAAATATTCACTGGCTAGTAACACCACACTTAAGTTATTTTTCTACGAAATATACTAAATCGACATCAGTTTTGAATTTGGCTTAGAAAAGTTAAACAAAACTAACTCCATTTAATTTGAAACATTCTCGTTTAAAATAATATCTAATTGATGTAAAATGTACTTTGAAACTTGTTATTTTCTTAATTTTATGAATATGTAAAATATATTAACCTAGTTTACGTTTTTATTTCACAACAATCATAGATACATTTATATTTTCGGCTACAGAGCTTGTTGCACAGAGTAATCATTTCAATCGGACATAAAAATAATCGGAACGTATAATTTAATTTATACTTTCATGGATTAAACAACTTTTATTTGTTATGTATATTATAAAATATATAGTTTATAATTTATAAGATAAGTAAAGATAATTTTTAATGGGCAGGCGACAAAGATATTAAAAAGCAAAAATAAAAGTTCCTAAACTGTAATTGAAATACAATGCGTAACATGGTTCAATAGCGATTTCTCTGTCTTGCGTATAGCGCTGTCTCTGTTTCGCTTATTTTGCCCAAAGTTTGCATCGGCTCCATAGTGAGTTGACCCCCTATGGGTGTCAGGAACGCATTCTCTGAACGGCCGACCTATAGGAGAGAGGAAGCCTATTTAACTACTTATAAGAATGTCATTGTGGTTTATTGAGATAGAATTCAATTTAAATTAGTGATCATTTTGTAAAACCTATATAAGTATTACATATTTGTAAAATATTCATTAGTACTATAGTAACATTTATTAGTTAGGTACTATTTTAATTTTTTTGTAAATATGATGTCATTATTTTAATTTTTTAATATGTCAGGTAGTTTATTATATAATTTTATGGAAGAATTTAATGTGCTAGAACTGTTTAGTTTTAATCGGGAAGTTGGCAATACTAATTTATTTTTGTGTCGTAACGTGTATTTGCATGGTAAATCTTCACGTTTTGTATAAAATTGCTTATTTTTTTGAACAAATTTACACATCTCCAATATATATAAGCTGGGTAAAGTTGTAGGAGGTATTCATTCGACTGTATTACCTCTTAACTTTTTCTGCATGAACCGAATTCAATAAATCCGTTTTTATTTGAAAGCTGGTGCTTCACATGTAGCCCCATATAACTGTCCGACCAATAGTTTTTGAATTATTCTTAATAATTTATATTGAATTCGGTTGTACAATATATTGAATTAGGTTTTGAATTAACTTCTTCAGAATAAATGCAGTTTCAATTCGCACATACGGCACGGAAAGGTTTTTCTACTCGTCATATAATTACATCACAAATTCACACAAATTGATTTTTATTTGGTACACACATATTTATATAAAAAACGTTTACACAATATTGTACATATTTAACCAGATAGCTCACGAAAAAGGTTTAGCGCCAGTGTGTGTTTTTAAATGTCTTTGCAAATTATATTTTGTGATAAAACTATATTCACAGATATTACACGAGAAAGGTTTTTCACCGGTGTGTATTTTCATATGTGTTTGCAAACGACTCTTTGTAATATATCTATGTTCACAGATATTACACGAAAACGGTTTTTCTCCAGTGTGTATTTTCATATGGGTTTGCAAACGACTCTTTGTAATACATCTATATTCACAGATATTACACGAAAAAGGTTTTTCACCAGTGTGTATTTTCATATGTCTTTGGAAATTTATTTTTGTAATACATCTATATTCACAGATATTACACGAAAAAGGTTTTTCACCGGTGTGTATTTTCATATGTGTTCGCAAAGAACTTTTTAAAATACATCTATATTCACAGATATTACACGAAAAAGGTTTTTCACCGGTGTGTATTTTCTTATGGGTTTGCAAATTAGTTTTTGTAATACATCTATATTCACAGATATTACACGAAAAAGGTTTTTCACCGGTGTGTATTTTCATATGGGTTTGCAAATCTCTTTTTGTAATACATCTATATTCACAGATATTACAAGAAAAAGGTTTTTCACCGGTGTGTATTTTCATATGTGTTTGCAAATAACTTTTTGTACTACATCTATATTCACAGACATTACACGAAAAAGGTTTTTCTCCGGTATGTATTTTCATATGGGTTTGCAACTTATTTTTTCTAATACATTTATATTCACAATTATTACAACAGTACATTTGTTTAGCGACGTGCGCCTTAAGATGTGCCAAAATGCGACATTTATGAGATGTTTTAAATTCACAAATATCACAATTAAATATTTCTGTTAGTTGTAGTATTGGAGTTTGTTCTACTTGTGTCCGAAATGCAGTGGTGTCTGAGTTCTTTTGCGTCTTATGACTGTATGAAATGTGTTTGACGAGAATGTCTTTTGTTGAAAATTTTTTACTACAACCATCACATTCAAAAATGTATTTACTTGATGTCCCAAATGTTTTTTTCTTAAGTATATTTACACTCTTTTGTTTCAAAATTTTCGTTTTCATAATCTTTGCAGGATGCTTTCCTTTTTTATTAATTGGTTGATTATCTATTTTTACTTTAGGGTTTGATTTAATAGTAGGGCCTTCAAAATCGAGGTCTTCTTCACGAACATCGTTTATGTTACAATCAGTAGAATTTGATTTAATCTTCTTCTCAGAAGTTTCTGAAAAATGATTTGTCGAAGTTAAACTTTTTATTTATTGTAAGTTATTGCATCTTTATTGCAAGACACCTTAAACGGTTTACAATGGGTGAAGTTTATGCCTTATGGCATTCTGTTAGTTAACCCAGGGAGAAATAAAGAAATTATAATATTTTACATAATTATACTAGGTATTACTAAATAATGTTGCTAGATATAAAGTATTTTAGCCAATTGCTGCGAATAATGTCTCTCATATTCATTTTTGGAGGGAAAGAATGATTCTTCTGACCATGTTACATTTACATTCATTTAATAGCCGCGGTTTCGAACTCCACACAGAACTATTGTTATACACACAGTACAGTCGAAATTGGCGTGTAAGTTAGCGATAAGAGAATTTATCATCACATTTTGTCCCGTGGGTTTCGTAAGAGGCGACTATGGATTTGCTAGAAAAATCTGATGGCTTCCGACAGATGGCGGTATAATCTCCTCGTATACTTCAGATGTAAAATATCCAGACCGGCGCCAGACGACATTGCCAGAGGTGCTCGCGTCTGGTTCTGCGATCGTCAGTCCTATGCCAAGCGTGACTCTCAAGGCAAATCCTTCCTGCGTAGGGAGAGATCCTTCCATGTTCAGCAGTGGAAGTTTACGGGAATATTAAGAGGTCCTTTCTCCACTGGCACCCATAAAATAGTTAATTTTGTAAGTAGGTGTGTATGTATGTATACATACATCCATACACGCCGTTTCCGTCCTATCGATCCTAACAGCTTCGACAGAAACCGTATTGAAGGTCACTAATCAGCTTATGCTCTTCGAGGTACCGCGTGACGCGTGAGCCGGCAGTTAATAATGGATTCCATTATTTTGGAGAACTAGAAGGTGATGGTGATAGGCCTGGATTTGGATAGGTCCCAGCCCTTTTTATGAATCGCATGCACTAAGGCTGCCTTTCATAAGGTTGGAACAACACCTAAGGAGTAAGAGAATATGACATAAACATAAAAATAACATGAACATAACACAACAACTGCATTATAACTTTGTAATCTATACTAATATAATAAAGTGGAAGGGTTTTTGTTTTTTGTTTGTTTAAACACGCCAACCTCTGGAACTACCAGTCCGATTTGAAAAAAATGATTTTCTATATTATAGCCAGATTCATGAGGAGGAGGAATAGTATAGGAATAGTATAGCATTAGGCTACTTCTCTCATCATCATCATCATCATCATCATTACAGCCCTTCACAAGTCGACTGCTGAACATAGGCCTCACCCAAAGAATGCCACAAAGCACGGTCCTGAGCCACCTGCATCCATCGACTTCCTGCATGTCTTACCAGGTCGTCACTCCATCTCGTGGGGGGACGCCCTACACTTCGCCTACCGGTACGAGGCTGCCACTCGAGAACCTTTCTTCCCCATCGGTTGTCGGTTCTTCGAGCTATATGGCCGGCCCACTGCCACTTCAGCTTACTAATCCGTTGGGCTATGTCGGTTACTCTGGTTCTACTGCGGATATCCTCATTCCTAAGTTTATCACGCAGAGAAACTCCGAGCATAGCCCTCTCCATAGCTCGCTGAGCGACCTTGAGCTTCCTCATACGGCCAGCAGTGAAGGACCACGTCTCAGTTCCATAAGTCATCACTGGCAACACGCACTGGTTGTATAATTTCGTTTTCAGGTTTTGAGGTATGTCTGACGAGAAAATGTGTCGTAGCTTCCCGAACGCTGCCCAGCCGAGTTGAATCCGTCGATTGACCTCTCGGTCGAAGTTGGACTTACCTAGTCGGACTATTTGTCCCAGGTAAACATAATCGTCAACAACTTCGAGCTTAGTGCTCCCAACAACTACCGGCATAGGTGTGACATGGACATTGAACATGATCTTTGTTTTGTCCATGTTCATCTTAAGACCTATCCGTTGGGAAACACTATCGAGGTCATTGAGCATAGTGCTTAGGTCCTCCAGCGATTCTGCCATAAGGACTATATCGTCGGCAAATCGAAGGTGAGTGATGTACTCGCCATTGATGTTGATACCGTATCCTTTCCAGTCCAGAAGCTTGAAAACGTCTTCCAATGCAGCGGTGAAGAGTTTCGGGGATATGACGTCACCCTGTCTTACACCTCTCTGCAATTGGATAGGTTTCGTACTCTGGTTCTGTACTCGGATAGCCATCGTAGCCCTACTGTACAAGCACTTCAACACTTCGATATACCGACAGTCAACTTGGCACCGCTGAAGGGACTGCAGCACCGCCCAAATTTCGACGGAATCAAAGGCTTTCTCATAGTCCACATACGCCAGACATAGTGGCAAATTGTACTCTTCGGACTTCTGTACAATTTGCCGAAGGGTATGTATGTGGTCTATGGTGCTAAAGCCCTTTCGGAAACCGGCTTGTTCGGGAGGCTGGAAGTCGTCAAGTCTGCGCGCGAGACGATTCGTAATGACTCTAGAAAACAGCACGTAGACGCGGCTCAGAAGGGAAATCGGTCTGTAGTTCTTCAAGAGAGCGTTGTCACCTTTCTTGAAGAACAAGACCACCGCACTTCTGCTCCACGCCTCCGGTGTAATGACACCATGTAGGACGGAATTAAAGAGCTTCTGAAGGACTTCAAGTACCGGTCTTCCACCCGCTTTCAGAAGCTCCGCTGTAATTCCATCCTCGCCTGGGGCCTTACCGTTTTTAAGGTGCTGGAGAGCTATTCTAATCTCGCTCAGACTGACGTCCGGGATATCTTCGGAATAGTGTCGGATGAGACTCGCTCTTGGATCGTTACTCACACTTGCGTGTGGCTCCAACGATGACGTGTACAGCTGCCCATAGAACCTCTCAATCTCACTCAAAATCTCAGGTGTCCCGGAAACGATGCTGCCACATTCTGTCTTCAGCTTTGACAGGTGGCTCTTTCTGGCAGACAGATCTCTGGCAAAGACTTTGGAGCCTTGGTTCCGCTCGATCGCTTCTTCAATACGAGCTGTATTGAAGTTGCGTAAGTCCCGCCGCATGCATTTGGAGATCTGTCTGTTCAGATGCCTGTATGCTGTCAAGTCTGTTGAAGAATGTAGCTTCATCTCCCGTCTAACAGCCATGAGATTAAGAGTGTGATCGGAGAGTTTTTGTGTTCTTCTGCGGCGGGTCTTGCAGAACTTAGCTCCGACCGCATGGACAGTTTCCACGAGCTTGTCATTCATATCGTCCACTTCATTGCAGTCTTCTAGGCACTGAAAACGGTTTTGTAACTCGAGCTGAAAGGTTTCGGGACTTTGGAACAGAGCACGAGGGGGACGGAGCGTTGACTTCATTAGACGAGACCTCTCCAACTTAACGTTTAGGTTCAGTGTGCCTCTAACCATTTGGTGATCGCTACCAGTTTTCACGCTCGCGATCACGGAGACATCACTGAACAGTTGTCGTCTGGTCGTCATAATGAAGTCAATCTCATTTTTTGTCGAACCGTCGGGGCTCGACCAGGTCCACTTCCTGTGGGGCCGCTTCTGGAAGAAAGAGTTCATCATAAAGAGTCCCTCTTTCTCCATGAAGTCGGCCAGCTGCTGGCCCCTTGGGTTCCGTTGCCCTATTCCAAATTTCCCTACTTTCAGCTCACCGTTCTCTCTTGTGCCTAGTTTTGCATTGAAGTCTCCCATTAACACCGCATATTGGGTTTTGGAGGAATGCATGGCTCTAGAGATATCCTCATACATTTCCTCCACCTCCCCATCGGGGTGTGCCGAGGTTGGTGCGTAAACCTGTATGACCTTCAGCGAATACCGTTTGGTGATTCTGAGTATAAGGTACGCAACCCTCGTCGACACACTCCCGATCTTTACAACGTTGTTAACGAGAGACTTGTGGATAATAAATCCGACACCTCCTTGGGACAGATGGTCGCCCTCCCGGTGATAGAGCAAGTTGCCGGATTCGAGGATTACCGTGTCCTCCCCCTCTCTTCGGACTTCGGATAATCCTATAATATGCCAGCGCAACTTGTCTATCTCTTCTTCCAGCTCCACGATCTTCTCGTCAGTCCTCAGGGTGCGTGCGTTGTACGTTGCCAGGTCGAGTCGTCTAAGGTGGCAACCGAACCTCCACCGGAGATTCTTAGCACCCCCTGCCCCGCCGTTACCATGGTCGCCACCGTAGCCAGGAATAGCGGGGCCGCCGGGGACTGGGGGCCGTCTCTTTGTTACATTCATAGGGGGGTATTTGCCATAGTTGCCACGCTTGGCGAGCGGGTTGGCAACCGCAGTTTTTTTATTATAATTTTGACTATTATCAGGAAGATGCTGCTGCCCATCTCCTGCCTGTTTCCCTTTGTCGCCTTTTACGACACCCACGGGAGGATATGGGGTAGTGGTATTCTTGACCGCCACTACACGGTTTCTACTTACTTCTCTCAGTTAACATTAAATATTGATTTTTGCTAACCCGTCAAGCGCTAGGCCATTTTATTTTTTACGCGCCTGACGTCAGGGCCTGTACGGAAGGTCTCCAGCTACTGGCAGGCACTAATGTAAAAAACTTAACAATCGAAGCTAGACGCAGAGCAACAATGAAAAGACAGTTAAAAAAACCGCTATTCTACATTTATTCCTCTACTACCTGTTCCCCGCGACTTCGCTCGCGTGTTAGGGCTTTTATGTCTTTGCGCGGAACCTTAATTGTATTTCTAAAAATAAAAGTAACTCCTTAAGAAATCAGCTATCTGTCAGTGAAAGTCCCGTCAAAATCAGTCCAGCCGTTTCGAAAATTAGCCGGAACAAACAGACAGACAGACAAAAATTGTTAAAATTTATTTTAGTTATAAGTACCGTATTTACTTTCATATGCATTAAGTAAAAAAAACTGTAATTTTGAGAATACAAACAGACACTTCAATTTTATTTATTTGTATACTCGTAGATTGGACAACAGATCCAAAAGTTATGATAATAAGTTATTTCCAGTGCACATAAAAATCCGAAAAAGTTTTTTCTTGTTTATGTACCCACTAGATCAGCATTTAAAAAAAAATCATATAAACAGGCTACGATTCCCGAGAGATACATTCATTTGAATACGAATCAGCAAAGAGATAACATCAAAATGGAGAAAAATTAAATGAGAGTTCCCTCTGTTTAAAAAATGTCTACCAAAGACATACACAGCGACTTGGTAAAATATTGAGGGACTCTGCTCCTTTCACAATTGCACGCTGGGCCAAGGAGGTTAAGCTGGGCTGAACATCCACGGAAGATGAATGCCCATCCACATCCCTCACTGAAGATAAAGTGAAAGGAGTCGAAGATATCGTATTGGCAGATCGAAGTGTGACGACCACGATCCTTGCGAACGAATTGCCTTGCGCGAATAGAAATTCAAAGTGCCAAGTTCGGCGGGAAAGGTTATGGCGTCCGTTTTTGGGGACGCTAAAGGAATAATTATGGTGGAATAATTGGAAAAGGGAGCCATTATTTTTGGCTTATACTCTCGACTACGCAGGCCAAATAAGAAGATTGCAGGGGGCTATAAAAGAAAAAGACGCGGCAAATTGCGAGCTGGAGTGCTGTTTCAACAAGACAACGCTCCGCCTCACAAAGCCGCAGTTGCAATGGCTGCCATTCAAGAAACGGGATTTGAACTGTTCGAACACCCGCCCTATTCGCCAGATCTAGCTCCCAGTGACTTCTATCTATTTCCTCGGCTCAAGGAACACCTTTGAGGCAAGAACTTTGACGATAGCGAAGTCATGGACGCTGTTGAGGTTTTTTTTTGAGGGTCAAAATAAAGATTTTTTTTCTAAGGGAATTCTGGGTTTAGAACAAAAATAGACTAAACGCATTGACTTGTTAGGAGATTATGTGGAAAAATAAATTATTTTTTTAACAATAATCACCGTGTTTAATGTTGACTATCAATAATTACTTTTGGATCACACCTCGTACTCACATCCTAAAAATAAAACCAAAGCGAAAAGTTGACTGAAATCGGAAAGGATGTTAAAAAACGACAGAGGTGGCTTCGCCCGCGTAGTAAGACAAGATGTTTAGCTATTTAAGTTGTCACTAGATGTCGTTGTACTAAAATATTAAATAACTGAATCACGATGTTGAGATAATTTGTTAAGAAACGGCAAAGGTGGCTTCAGAGAGGAGATAACCGCTCGCTTCGCTAGGCGCAAGATTTTATTGCAGAACCTATATGTGACTAAAGTAATTAAGAGCAAAATTTGTATGTATAGTACATCTCCAACTACATGATGCAAGAGGAATTTGTGGTGCCTTTTTTTTTGATGCAGGTTTTTAAACATAAATTCATTTACCTATGTCATCGTCATCTTTTTTACTCTTTGAACCAAATGCAATTAGCGGCAAGTCGTCATCCAAATCCGTATGTCTATCTTCAAAAGCATCAATCTCCAAATCTTCTTGTTTTTCGGCACTCTCTAGAATGAAACAGATTCTGACTCAATATATAAAATAATAACTGATATTTTTTTCAAGCGACTAGATCATTACAGTCCACCACAAAGCTTATGGGCCTGAGCCACCCACTTTCATTACCATACTGCATGTTTCATAAGCTAAGTGTAAGAAGCTGAAGTGGCAATGGGCCGCAGAACTGACAACCGATGGGGAAGAGAGGTTCTCGAGTGGCAACCTCGTACTGGTAGACTTAGTGTAGGGCGGCCCCCACTAGATGGAGTGACGACCTGGTAAGACATGCAGGAAGTCGATGGATGCAGGTGGCTAAGGCCTGTGCTTTGTGGCATTCCTAAAGAAATTGGCAAAGACAGGTTGCTTACCAGTTGTAAGTATATCATTAATTCCAATGAAATTAATCCATCTTAGTGACATACATACTGGCTGCATTTATAGAGGATCAAAATATTTTTAAAATATATTAGTGCATAAGTAAAAAAAAATGTCTAAAGAAGCTCATTATTTTACATTGACAATCATGTCTAGCGCAAAACGCGTAGGTATGTTCTACTAGCGTCTAAAAATCAAGATTCCAATGTTTTGTCGCATAAAATCGCATCTAACAATTATATTGAACATATAAATGATATAACAACCGCATGGTCAGAAAGATAAATGATTGTTGGACTTATAATTTTTTTTTAAATCGATTAATTGCTATTTTTACATAAAAAAGTGGCTTTAGTGGCTTATGGTGTAGATTTATCAAGTCCGCATTTTTTTATAGGATAGGGTAACAAACGAGCACACAGTCAGCCTGATGGTAAGCGGTTGCTGTGACCCATAGACATCTACATTTATCCTCAATGAAGAATCAAAATGCAGATGCGTCGTCACCCGGAGGACTAAGATGGAATGCCTTTTTTCCAGTAAAATGGGTCTCCGGTTCTCTACACTCACCATCCGAAACACAGCAGCGTCAAGCTGCCATTTTACGCTGATATTCTGTGAGAGCGTGGTCCTTCCCCTGTCAAACCGACCCATGCGTGCTACAATTATACTACTAAATACTAATATAGCTGCAGCATGGCTCTACGGTTTTGAAAATATTAATTGTTTAACTCAATCTATTTTTTAATTAATTATATAAATAATAAAAATAAACTCAGTATAATTTTATTTTGTTTAGTTATAATTAATTTGTTTCGGCGTAGAAATGTTGAAATTTTCTGTGTTTTAGCAGCCTTGTATTCATTTATTTTTTGTAAATAGACTGCGGCAGTCTGACTGGTGACTGCCTCACTCAGGTCGGCGTCAACGGCCGTCCTAAGTGGATACTGTATTGGTTGTTTGCAGCGGCTCAAAAAGATCGCTGAAAAATACAAAATATTTCAAAAACCAAATTTCATACATACTTGATTGGTATAATAATCAGAGATTTTTATTACAATATTTTAAAGGTACAGAATAAATAATAGTAGTCCGTAATAAAAGTAAGTAGGATGTATGTATATACATTCAAAGTGCAAGACTCATAATGTTCATATTATCATCATTCAGGTAACTCCATAAAGTCCAAAACATATTCATATATAATTATACTAAAATATATATAGGCTGTCCCAGAACTCAACGTCAAGCCGAAACGGGGTGACAGGATTGATTGTAACCATCATGAGATAAATCAGAAAAAAAAAATTATCCAATGCGGTTTGAAAATTATTGGCATTTAAGAAAAACCTAGAAATTTGGTCAAACTGTAACCATTTTTCGGTTATTGTGGTTAATTTTTATTATTTTTGTTCAATTTAACTTTGAAACCGTAACCCTAAATAATATTTCCAGAACCATAATCAAAAATAATGACACAACTGCCCCAAGTTTTCTAGAATTAAGACTTTGTTAAACTGTGAATTTAAAATTTTCAAAATTTTCGACTTTGAAAGGTCCTTCTTTAAAAAAAAAGTACTAAAGTGCCTTGGCAAGTGCCATTAAAATTTCGCGCATTTCATCAGGATAGTAAAATGGTAGAATACTTGTTAGTTTCATACTAAAAAAAAAACTAGTAAAAAATAAAAACCTCGAGTAACCCGATTTTTGCTAACCAATTTTACTCAGTTCAAATGTTTTTTTATTGATGTGAAAGATGGATAGTGGACATGTCTGCCATGAGCGACTGAGACAGATAGTGACGCCACTTTTACCAAAGTCAACGAAAGTAAGTAAAATTAATAAAATAATGAAAAATCTTGACCTAGTTTAGTTTAGGTTTATTGGAATAAGTCAGATAGGGAAAAAACATTTTTTTATTACAATAAATGTTCAAATTGTTTACCATCAGCCTCAATACACGCCCTACATCTTATTAAAAAAGATCTAGTTATTAGTCGGACTTATCCTCGAGAGTTTATGTCCTCAGCAGCTTGAGAAATTCGTTCCCGTAGCTCGGCTACGCTGTCAATGGGCTTTGAATAAACTTTTCGTTTGAGAACGCCCCAATAAAAAAAAATACAGAGGATTTAAATCTGGGGAACGGGCTGGCCACGAGATAGTGCCTGAACGTCCAATCCACCTTCTCGGTTATTCCTGGTCATGGAAATCTCTTACTTGCACTGCGTATGGCGCTGGGCAGCCATCTTGTTGATACCACATGTGGCGACGATCTGTTAGTGGTACGTCCTTTAACAAAGTGGTAAAATTCCGGTCCATAGGTTTACTTTAAAGTGATACTGGGATCTGTTTTCTCGCAATAAATGTGGATTCGCCACATGCCACTCGTGAAAATTGTGTAAGTTTATGTAACCATCTATTTTAAATGTAGGTTCATCTGACCAGAGAATTTTTTGGATGAATTGGGGATTTTTATTATGCCTCTGTAGCATTGTTCTACAAAATGAAATCCTTTCAGGATAATCTCGAGGAAAGAAGACTTTGAACTCATTGTACGTGAAACGGGTGCATTTCGCTCTTTGTAAAATACGACATGATGTGCTTTTGGGTATTCCCATTCTTTCTTCAATTCTACGAACGGAAATACTTGGGTCATCTGCGACCACTTGCAACACTTCTTCCTCGTAAGGAAAGCGAGCTCTACCTCCAGCCCGTATTTAATTCGGGAAATGGCCGCCCTCCGTGAGTGAACGGTGCACATTAACAAACACGCGGTGATCCGGATAGAACTCTAAATTTGGATATCTTTCACGATAAAGTCTAGCGGCGGCACTTGCGTTGCATCTGCATTCCCCATAAATGAGGTGCATGTTCGCATATTATTGTGAAGTGTAACGCGTAGGCATGGTAGATAACAAGGATGCCAACACAATAGTCCAATTTCAAAAGAGAGAAGCCAAAGTTTTCAGTACTAAATCAACACAAGCGAATACGGAAAGGTGCGCAGTAGACGAATGAGCGAAACGTACTCTCTGATGTCAGAGAGTACGCATCTCCGTCTCACTGCGTGGCGTTATTATCTGTCTCGGTCGCTCATAGCAAACATGTTCACTATCCATCTTTCTCATCATCTTGCCGTAATATTAAGAACCTACCAAGAGCTTGTGGGAACAAAAAACATTTGAACTGAGTAAAATGGGTTAGTAAAAATTGGGTTACTTGAGGTTTTTATTTTTTTACTAGTTTTTTTTTAGTATGAAATTAACAAGTATTGTACCATTTTACAATCCTGATTAAATGCGCAAACTTTTAATGGCACTTGCTAAGGCGCTTCAGTACATTTTACTTAAAGGAAGACCTTTCAAAGTCGACAAATTTTAAAAATTTTAGATTCATAGTTTAACAAATAGTCTTAATTCTAGAAAACTTGGGGCAGTTTTGTCATTATTTTTGATTGTGGTTCTAGAAATGTCATTTAGGGTTACGGTTCCAAAGTTTGAATGAACAAAAATAATAAAAATTAACCACAATAACCGAAAAATGGTTACTGTCTGTGACATAGAATTCAATTTTCCGTACGCATTTATTAGAAGTGAATATCTTAGGATGTTATACCCATATTATCATTTGTGCACCTTATTATACACAGTTGCAAATGAAACGTATTCAAGAAAGGACGTATTTCATTGCTCTATTTAAACCGCAATCAAAAAACAACTCTATTACAAGTAAATAGTGGTCACAATCGAGCCGGATAAGTAAGGAGCTAACGTCGTCATAAACATCTTTTGTTCGTCGTCCCGGGTCTCGGACGCTTACCTGCGCTAGAAAAACAACAAGTAATTTATAAGTGAATAACAACGAACATTGCAGTGATATTTTGTGAAGCTTAATTATATCTTTTGTGAGTAATTTATAATGTCAAAAGTGGAAGTAATGATCGAACAATTAGAAGAATATTATAATCAAATTAACAAAACCCAGATTAATCTTAAAAAATGTCCTAAAACAAGAATAACACAGGCATGTTTAGAAGTAAAGATTCAATGCATTGAAGAGTATTGGGTATCATATCGTGCGGCGCATCAAAACTTATTGAAACTAACATCGAAGAGCGATAGACAAATAATATCTTATTTTGTGAAATAGCGAGTATGACAAGTGTGAAGAAGTGTTTACTTGTTTGAAAGGGGATATGGTGGACATGTTAAATGATATCAAAAACAATACCGGGAATAATACAAAAAAACCAGTTGTTGACGTAAAGCTGCCCCGAATAAATCTACCTACTTTTTTCGGTGCATATGAAGAATGGCAATCATTTGAGGACACATTTATATCATTATTAGACAGAAATAATAGCCTTAGTGACGTACAGAAATTACATTGTCGTGTGTAGCAGGCGAAGCTAAAAATACTATTAAACATTTTCAAGTGACGGATAAAAATTACGAACCAGCGTGGAAAGCTTTAAAGAATAGATATAGTCATAAGCGGCTAATAGTAAATGCAATATTAAAGAAATTATTTTCTTTGAAGAAAATAAATACGCAATCACCAGCTCATTTAAAAGTTTTAATTGATAATACAAAAGAATCTATTAACCGGTTCAGTGCGGGTGACACTCACTGCGATCGCTCACAAACTCAAGTTGTAAATAAATTTCTGGAGAACATATCTCCTGTTAAAAAAACACTGCGTTTGTCTTATTGTTTAATATTTACAAATGTTATTATTAGGTGAAAATTTAATGTAACTGACTTAGCTGTACCTACTTATATAAATGATTTTTTATAACAACAAAAAAATAGTACAAAAGGTTTGTAATCTCTTCATTAAAACAGTCACTTTCTCTCAATTTCAAAGAAAACGCGTAAAAAAACACGTAGTTACCCACTAAAAACAAGTATCCTTCAATTTATAACTTATGTTTGAGGTGATACAAATTAAATCAGTCAAACCAACGCTCCCTGCCACCAGAATTGTTTAATTTTTATCAAACACTATGGTCGGGATCGACCGGGGAATCGAACCCGGAACCACGCTCTGCTACCAGTTTGTACACGTCCCTAGCTGCCCCAACCAAGGAAGACGGGATTAGGGCCCATGAGTAATCCCATCGACGAGCAGCAGAGAGACGGGGCCAGAATATGGCCACGTGGAATTTCCTAATTACAATAAACAATAAGGGAAAGCTAGAAACATGTAGTACTTACCATTATCTGAAGCTAACTTCGCACTAAGGCTTGGGCAGGTCGTGAGTGTGTGTAATAGTGGATGGCGAGTAGTGTACAGTGAGGTGTGAAGGTGTGGGGCCTTGGCAAGCATAGGCGACCAGCAGCGGCCAAGTTCCAGGCTGCTCCAAAATGCTGCACCGCTTCAGACTGCTTCGGCGCCGGACCGCTTCTTCGTTCGTCACGATGACAGTCCATTAACTCTATCGTCTGATTAACTAACTTACAGAAGCCACTAACTCTCGTTTGTTATAAGGTTAACGCACAAAACGAACACGGAGTGTCCGGATCAAAGGTCACTACCGTTTCGCGTAGCAACAGTTATTTCTACGAGTAGAATATCAAAGGCCGCTTTAGCTAATATTGTCGAATGCACTTATACAGATTCCGAGTCAAACCCAATGAGTCCCGGGGAAGCTCTACAGCAAGGAATACGCGTCACAAATCCTAGACAGTACATTTACGAGACGCGCCTAATTATTCCGAGTTCCCGACAAAAAATGACAGCGTGCTGTCCCAAGCACCGCTGGCAGACGACTCTTTCGCCTTTACGCGTTCTCAACCCACCGCTCGGCCGACGTCAAAACCGGTATGGTAGCGAGCCGCGCGCACTCTCGCGTTAGTTCCTGAAATTAGCGTTTGGCGTGAACACCTAGTGAATTCACTCAAGGTGCAACAGAATAGATCACTGTCTTCAGCCATTCTATTAAGAACGCGTAACGTTCGCGTTAAAGGCGCCTTGTCGAGTATATTGGTACCCGTCTGGAACACACGGCCTAATCCCCGCCAATATGTCACTATAATTTTATTTTGTGTCCATGGGCTACAGTAACCACTTGCACTTCGGTAACGTTTTTTTATAGGAGAGGGGGCAAACGAGCATGCGGCTCACCTGATGGTAAGTGACTACCGCCGCCCATGAACAACTGCAACATCATCATCATCATCATCATCATCATTACAGCCCTTCACAAGTTCACTGCTGAACATAGGCCTCCCCCAAAGAATGCCACAAAGCACGGTCCTGAGCCACCTGCATCCATTGACTTCCTGCATATCTTATCAGGTCGTCACTCCATCTAGTGGGGGGACGCCCTACACTTCGCCTGCCGGTACGAGGCTGCCACTCGAGAACCTTTCTTCCCCATCGGTTGTCGGTTCTTCGAGCTATATGGCCGGCCCACTGCCACTTCAGCTTACTAATCCGTTGGGCTATGTCGGTCACTCTGGTTCTACTGCGGATATCCTCATTTCTGAGTTTATCACGCAGACAAACTCCGAGCATAGCCCTCTCCATAGCTCGGTGAGCGACCTTGAGCTTCCTTATCCGGCCAGCAGTGAAGGACCACGTCTCAGTTCCGTATGTCATCACTGGCAACACGCACTGGGTGTACAGTCTCGTTTTCAAGCTTTGAGGTATACCTGACGAGAGGATGTGCCGTAATTTCCCGAACGCTGCCCAACCGAGTTGAATCCGTCGATTGACCTCTCGGTCGAAGTTGGACTTACCTAGTCGGACTATTTGTCCCAGGTAAACATACTCGTCAACAACTTTGAGCTTAGTGTTCCCAACAACTACCGGCATAGGTGTGACATGGACATTAAACATGATCTTTGTTTTGTCCATGTTCATCTTAAGACTTATCCGTTGGGAAACACTATTGAGGTTATTGAGCATAGTGCTTAGGTCCTCCAGCGATTCTGCCATAAGGACTATATCGTCGGCAAATCGAAGGTGAGTGATGTACTCGCCATTGATGTTGATACCGTATCCTTTCCAGTCCAGAAGCTTAAAAACATCTTCCAATGCAGCGGTAAAGAGTTTCGGGAATATGACGTCACCCTGTCTTACACCTCTCTGCAATTGGATAGGTTTCGTACTCTGGTTCTGTACTCGGATAGCCATCGTAGCCCTACTGTACAAGCACTTCAACACTTCGATATACCGACAGTCAACTTGGCATCGCTAAAGGGACTGCAGCACCGCCCAAATTTCGACGGAATCAAAAGCTTTCTCATAGTCCACATACGCCAGACATAGTGGCAAATTGTACTCCTCGGACTTCTGTACAATTTGCCGAAGGGTATGTATATGGTCTATGGTGCTAAAGCCTTTTCGGAAACCAGCTTGTTCGGGAGGCTGGAAGTCGTCAAGTCTGCACGCGAGACGATTCGTAATAACTCTCGAAAACAGCACGTAGACGCGGCTCAGAAGGGAAATCGGTCTGTAGTTCTTCAAGAGAGCGTTGTCGCCTTTCTTGAAGAACAAGACCACCGCACTTCTGCTCCACGCCTCCGGTGTAATGCCACCATGGAGGACGGAATTAAAGAGCTTCTGAAGGACTTCAAGTACCGGTTTTCCACCCGCTTTCAGAAGCTCCGGTGTAATTCCATCCTCGCCTGGGGCCTTACCGTTTTTAAGGTGCTGGAGAGCCATTCTAATCTCGCTCAGACTGACGTCCGGGATATCTTCGGAATAGTGTCGGATGAGACTCGCTCTTGGATCGTTACTCACACTTGCGTGTGGCTCCAACGATGACGTGTACAGCTGCCCATAGAACCTCTCAATCTCACTCAAAATCTCAGGTGTCCCGGAAACGATGCTGTCACATTCCATCTTCAGCTTTGACAGTTGGCTCTTTCTGGCAGACAGATCTCTGGCAGAGACTTTGGAGCCTTGGTTCCGCTCGATCGCTTCTTCAATACGAGCTGTATTGAAGTTGCGTAAGTCCCGCCGCATGCATTTGGAGATCTGTCTGTTCAGTTGCCTGTATGCTGTTAAATCTGTTGAAGAATGTAGCTTCATCTCCCGTCTAACAGCCATGAGATTAAGAGTGTGATCGGAGAGTTTTTGTGTTCTTCTGCGGCGGGTCCTGCAGAACTTAGCTCCGACCACATGGACAGTTTCCACGAGCTTGTCATTCAAATCGTTCACTTCATTGCAGTCTTCTAGGCACTGAAAACGGTTTTGTAACTCGAGCTGAAAGGTTTCGGGACTTTGGATTAGAGCACGAGGGGGACGGAGCGTTGATTTCATTAGACGAGACCTCTCCAACTTAACGTTTAGGTTCAGTGTGCCTCTAACCATTCGGTGATCGCTACCAGTTTTCACCCTCGCGATCACGGAGACATCACTGAACAGTTGTCGTCTGGATAATGAAGTCAATCTCATTTTTTGTCGAACTGTCGGGGCTCGACCAGGTCCACTTCCTGTGGGGCCGCTTCTGGAAGAAAGAGTTCATCATAAAGAGTCCCTCTTTCTCCATGAAGTCGGCCAGCTGCTGGCCCCTTGGGTTCCGTTGCCCTATTCCAAATTTCCCTACTTTCAGCTCACCGTTCTCTCTTGTGCCTAGTTTTGCATTAAAGTCTCCCATTAACACCGTATATTGGGTTTTGGAGGAATGCATGGCTCTAGAGATATCCTCATACATTTCCTCCACCTCCTCATCGGGGTATGCCGAGGTTGGTGCGTAAACCTGTATGACCTTCAGCGAATACCGTTTGGTGATTCTGAGTATAAGGTACGCAACCCTCGTCGACACACTCCCGATCTTTACAACGTTGTTAACGAGAGACTTGTGGACGATAAATCCGACACCTCCTTGGGACAGATGGTCGCCCTCCCGGTGATAGAGCAAGTTGCCGGATTCGAGGATTACCGTGTCCTCCCCCTCTCTTCGGACTTCGGATAATCCTATAATATGCCAGCGTAACTTGTCTATCTCTTCTTCCAGCTCCACAATCTTCTCGTCAGTCCTCAGGGTGCGTGCGTTGTATGTTGCCAGGTCGAGTCGTCTAAGGTGGCAACCGAACCTCCACCGGAGATTCTTAGCACCCCTTGCCCCGCCGTTACCATGTTCGCCACCGTAGCCAGGAATAGCGGGGCCGCCGGGGACTGGGGGCCGTTTATTATTGTCATTGCTCATGGGGGGTATATTGCCATAGTTGCCACGCTTGGCGAGCGGGTTGGCAACCGCAGTTTTTTTTATTGTATTTTTGCCGTTACCAGGAAGATGCTGCTGCCCATCTCCTGCCTGTTTCCCTTTGTCGCCTTTTACGACACCCACGGGAAGATATGGGGTAGTGGATATTCTTAACCGCCACTACACGCACCTGCAACACCAGGGAGGGGTCAAACGAGCATGCGGCTCACCTGATGGTAAGTGACTTCCGCCGCCCATGAACAACTGCAACACCAGGGGAATTGCAGAATCGTTGCCGGCCTTTTAAAAAGGAGTACGCTCTTTTCTTGAAGGTCCCTAAGTCGTACCGGTCCGGAAAAATCGCTGATGGTAATCGATTCCACAAGGAAGTCGTTCGAGGAAGAAAACATCTTCTAAATCGCACAGTGGTGGACCGCCAATCATCCAGATGGTGTGGATGGTATCGGGAGTTCTGCCGCGATGTGCGTTCGTGAAATTTGGCGGCTGGGATTAATCCGAACAATTCCTCAGAGCACTCCCTATGGTAGATGCGAAAGAAAATGCAAAGGGATGCAACATCTCTTCGCAGTGCCAATGAATCGAGCCGATCGAAAAGGGCTCGGTCGTCGACGATTCGAGCCGCTCTGCGCTGGATGCGGTCAAGTGGAAGGAGCTGGCACTGGGGAGCCCCTGCCCAGAGATGGGAACAGTATTCCATGTGAGGCCGAACCTGCGCCTTGTAAAGTTGCAGGCGGTGTGCCGGCATGAAATACTGTCCCGCTCTGCTGAGCACGCCAAGCTTTTTAGAGGCCAATTTGGCCTTGTCTTCCAAGTGACCACGAAACTGCACGTCACTCGATATGTCGACTCCGAGGATACCGATACTGGCTGAGGCAAGAAGGGGAGTGCCTTGAAACTGAGGAGATACGACAAAGGGGTTCTTTTTAGCGGTTAACGCGCAAACTTGTGTCTTCTGAGGATTAAACTGGACTAGATTTAGTCGCCCTCAATCCGAGACTTTGTTCAGCAAAGACTCGACTTCAGACACAAGTTTGTTCCGGTAACTTGTACCTTCATCATCATTACAGCCTTTCATAAGTCCACTGCTGAACATAAGCCTCCCCCAAGGAATGCCACAAAGCACGGTCCTGAGCCACCTGCATCCATCGAATTCCTGCATGCCTTACCAGGTCGTCACTCCATCTCGTGGGGGGTCGCCCTACACTTCGCCTACCGGTACGAGGCTGCCACTCGAGAACCTTTCTTCCCCATCGGTTGTCGGTTCTTCGAGCTATATGGCCGGCCCACTGCCACTTCAGCTTACTAATCCGTTGGGCTATGTCGGTTACTCTAGTTCTACTGCGGATATCCTCATTTCTAAGTTTATCACGCAGAGAAACTCCGAGCATAGCCCTCTCCATAGCTCGCTGAACGACCTTGAGTTTCCTCATACGGCCAGCTGTGAAGGACCACGTCTCAGTTCCGTAAGTCATCACTGGCAACACGCATTGGTTGTACAATTTCGTTTTAAGGTTTTGAGGTATGTCTGACGAGAAAATGTGTCATAGCTTCCCGAACGCTGCCCAGCCGAGTCGAATCCGTCGATTGACCTCTCGGTCGAAGTTGGACTTACCTAGTCGGATTATTTGTCCCAGGTAAACATACTCGTCAACAACTTCGAACTTAGTGTTCCAACTTGTACCTTATTTTAATAATATCACAAAATGTGTATATCTTACCTATTTCATGATTCCCATTTTCTTCAAATTTGGAATTCTCATTTTCTAAATTCTCTTCTTCAACTTTAACAGATTCAAGGCTAAACATTTCGTTCTGACAATCATTATCTAGATCACACTCTACTGGCCTGATATCTATATGACTAATTGGTGTGAATTGAATCTTATCTCTAGCCTCATGATGATTTGGTATTGACTGAAACCAAATTCTTTTGTTAAATAAGAGAAAAAGCCAGTGTATTGGTGCCGTAGGAGAATCCATACTACTATACCATCCCGCAGATGTCGTAAAAAGGGACAGAGGTAAACTGAAACAGGAAATGGGCAGCAGCATCTTCCTGACAACAACTACAAATAGTAATAAAAACCGGACAAAGTGAGGGTTCCGAATAAACTTACATAAGAATGTATATATTTCATCCATCCCGAGTATCGAGTCTCAACAATATTTCCAATCAAATTCACGAATGCAGTAAATTGACAATGATCTATCTTTGTTTACTGAGTAATATCCATCAAAAAATTAACTTGTAAAAAAAACCAAGTCTCGCAACTCAGTTCTGCTACCGTAAAAGGTTGTGAGATCCATGTAATACCAAGTCGGTTAATTTATTCAGTCCCTACTTTTAAGGGTCCTTCTGTCTTCAGTTATTACGTAATTAGCTAACTTAACAACGTCTTATAGTGACCACATCAATACTAAAAATCTTTTATATTTTAAATAAATAGATTGACTTGGCCATCGCATGAAAACGCAATGTATCTCTCAAGTAATACATATTATATTAAATTAGATTGTTTAGTGCGATTGCCAAGTCTATTTATTTATTTAAAACATAAAAGATTTTTAATATTGATGTGGTCACTATAAGACGTTGTTAGGTTAGATAATTACGTAATAACTTAAGACAGATACTTCATTATAATAGGAATTAACCATCAAGCAGTAAACTTTTATTAATAACAGGTATAATACCGTGGACACGTGTAGTGGCGGTGTAAAAATATCCACTGCCCTATATACCTACCCACGGGACGGGTGACGTAAGAGGCGGCAGAGGGAAACAGAAACAGGAGTTGGGCGGCAGCATCTTCCTGACAACAACTCAGACTAATATAAACTGCGGTTGCCAACCTGCCAAGTGTGGCAAATTTGGCAAAATCCCTCGTAAAAAGCAATCTATGAGGGACTTTTAAAGTTTTTAATGGATGGAAGGGATAATACCATGGACCCTCCTGCAAGCAACTGCTTCAGAACTGCTTTTGACTCAATAGCCTGTTGTTGTAATGTTCTGCAACGAATGAGTCTTGCATGACAGTTGAAACAGACAATTATGGGTTCCTCGTCTTCATCCATCTGAAAATATGAAATTTCGTCATAAAAATGGAAAACTACTTAAACATACAAGTTTGTAATAAAATCTATTGGCTACCACAATTCTGTTCATCATCATTTTTTATAACATTAAAGTGACAAATAAACTTACAATCCACCTGATGGTAAGTGGCAACTGCAGCCCATAGGCACCTGCAACAAACTTCAAGCAAAGGCTACAGATGCGATGTTACCACTGAGGACGGATGTAATGCTTCACAGCCTGTTATTATACTTGCTTAACAGTTAAGGCTACCACTCAAGAATTATGTTTCCCCATCTGTTGATAGTCCTGCTAGCTATTAGCCAAGTGCAGAAAGTTTGCCTATGACTACCCCTCTCGCTTCCACCGACCGTGCCCCGTGCTCGCCTAGTAAGTACTCTTAACAACGCAGTTGTGTGCTCACTTGTGCAACATCTTTGAATTTATTACTCCCACTCCGAAATTATTCATTGTTTTCTTGTAAAGTATTACAAATCATTGATAAGTGATGACATGATGTCATCAGCAAACTTTGTCACGCAGTTAATATAAAATGTACACAATTCTCAAATTAATTTAAAATGTTGGAGTGTCAAGCACGTAGTAGTGTGCATGACATTAACAGATATAATTTTAAAAGCCGTAGATTCAGACTCTTGGGTATTTTTAAGTTAAGGCTTAGCTTAGTGGCATCACTTCAAATTGACTAAAGCTGAGTCACCTAATAACTCACCTACTTTAGCTAAAGAGTTGTTAAAGTATGGAACAAACTGCTATCAAAAGTAATATTAGTACAAACAATAAACTGATTGTACCACAGATTGGATAAATTTACAACATAGTAGAGCCATGATGCAGCTATATTAGTAGTATAGTTGTAGCATGAATGGGTCGCCTCGACCAGGGAAGGACCACGCTCTCATAGAAAACCAGTATAAAATAGCAGTGTTTCATATGGTGAGTGTAGAGAATTGGAGACCCTTTTTACTGGAAAAGAGACATTCCAACTTAGTCCTCACGGGTGATGACGCATCTGCATTTTGATTCTTCATTGAGGATAAATGTAGATGTCTATGGGTCACAGCAACCACTTACCATCAGGTGGACTGTGTGCTCTTTTGTCACCCTATTCCTACAAAAAATTGAACAATTAGAGATTTGAAACTAGGATACAGAGTTATATCAACTGTATCAACTGCTGGCTGGCTCAATATTTTTTATACAAGGGTGACGACAAATCAAACAGTCCACCTGATGGTAAGTGAATGCACTGACTGTTTGATTTGTTGTTCGCTATGGCCTATAGAACTCCACATTTATCCCCAGTAATGAATCAAAATGCAGATGTGTTGTCACCCCTGAGACCAACACTGAATGCCTCAAATCTAGTAAAAATGGTCTCCAATGCTCTACACTCACCATATAAAACAGAGCAAAACTAAGCTGCTATTTTACTTTAGTAATCTGTGAATACATTAACACCCCAGTGTAGTGGAACCACCTGTGATACAACCATAATATAGCTGCAGCATGGCTCTACCACATATAAAATAATGATAATAATGTTCTACAGACAGAATTTCGGTCACAATAGAGCCTACTCATCAGCACAGGACAGGATTACATTGCATAATATGTGTGTTAGCAAGCACATATGCACATTATTCCCTTCTCCAATTTCTGTCTGACAGGAATATTAGAAATATAGGAGTGAGACAATTTTTGTCTGTAAGCACATGTGCACTATAATCTCCCACTTTAATAGTCAATAGAACGGCTTTAAGTGGGTGAAAGAGCAAACTAGGATGGATATTAAGTTTTTGACGGAAAATAACAGACACCACGAATAAATCTATGCAGCAGTGCGGGTTGCATTGAAGGATGCACAAGGTTCCTTATAATGGCGTAGACTCGGTAAGTTTGAGCCCGCGGTTACTTCAATGATAATACTGATTTTAGTGCGGTCCAGGATCCAGGCTAATTGTTGTTTTTCAGGTTCTGGTTGTATTTGTCACTATATATACTATTTATGTTATATACACTATATATATTATAATGTATTTCTCCAGCGATAACCCGTCTTTAAAGTATTTCTCGATGAAGTACATTCAATTTGCAATGTCAAGAAATATTTACAAACTTACAAAACTATTCGTCAATGTTTTGTACAAATTTTCGAGACCAGTCTTCTTTAGTACATACATGCGTAGATTATCGCATAAACAAATTCTACAAATTTCACTAAAATAGGTCATTTCTATTTCCAACAACTTTAATCACAAACTAATATGCAATGAGTAGAATTAATTTTCTATATATTATACTCTTTTAGTCTTGGTCTTGGTACAACTTTATAATTTGTGGGTCTTGGGTAGTTCGCGAACGACCCGAACGACCTAGGTGGGAAGAGCCGTGTTCCCGCCTAAGGGTATTAGTGTTCTGTGGCCGTGTTTCTATATAGTTTGTGGAATTTTTTTTTTTGGAGTTTATGGCCTGGCATCTAGACCTTTAGGCCAAGTCTTGAGTATTTTTATTCGGTTTATTATAATTTCCCCACTGTATTTTTGATGAATTTATATAGAGGCACGTAATAGGATCTATTTTTTAACATATCACTCAGGCGGCGGGAGGGATCTTGCACTGTCACTTGATTTTGCACTATGTCACTAATTTCACTGACAAGAATCAATCTGTCAAATGAAAAGCACTCACATGTAAATATGAAATGTTCGATATCACCAACAGAATTATTGCAGAAGGTGTAGTAACTGCTCTCCACTATGCCCAATCGAGCCAGGTGGGCCGGGACGGTGGAGTGACCAAAGCGCAGTCTATTTATAGTGGTAACAAAGTCCTGACTGGCCATTTTCAGTTTGTTATACCATGGTGCTACAGGTAGTTTTTCTTGAACAGTTCCATACCATTTACCCTTCTGTTCTTGATCTTGTTTCCAAAATTCGACCCATAAGCTATTGACCTGGTTGTCAATAGATTGATAACAGTCGGTCAAAGGTACTTTTACTATGGAGCTAACATCCAACATGTTGGTTCCATCACGTGCAATTTTATCTACTATCTCATTTCCTGTTATGCCCCTATGTGATGGAATCCACATGAAAGAGACCTGTATACCCTTTTTTGCATAACTAAATAACAATTTTTTAACATTATACAAAATATAGTTTTTTTTAAAGTCAAATCTGAGATTAGTTAAACTTTGGACCATACTTAAACTGTCTGTTAAAATTAAAAAATTATTAAAACTATTTATATGTGCAATCCTCTTCAGGGCCTCGAGGGCCGCATATACCTCTGCAGTGAAAACACTGCATTTAGGGTCCAGAAGAAAACTTTGACCAAACTTGCATTGTGGATCATAAACGGCACTGCGCACAAAGAGCTCACTTTTGCTACCATCTGTATACAAAGTATAGTAGTTAATTTCGGAAATAAAACTTAATAATTAACAATTATTAAAAAAATTTTTGGTAACAATATTGGTCTCAAATATAATACAGGAATATGGGTATGTGTAGCATGTCCACTTTGATTGTTTAATTACATTTTTAAAATCTTCATTCATTTGCTGTACAATGAGAGGCAAAACTGGAAAATAACCTTGTAAAAGCTCACCTCCCGAAGTCTGCTGGACCGAGCATTGTAAAGGAAAAGGTACTATTTTTTTGAGAACATTATCATTACCAGATACCAGCTTTAGTAAATATCTCTCTATTAGCAGAAGTCTTCTAAGACACAGTGGCATTATTTTGGTTTCAACTTCCATAGCTCGTATGGGAGTTGAACACATAGCCCCAGAAATAATTCGCAGAGCTTTGTTTTGAATTATGTCTAGTTTTTTTACACAACTACTATTTGAGTAGGCTAAACAACTGTAGTCGAAATGGCTTCTGACTATAGATTTATATAGCATACTTAAAACTTTGGGGTCTGCACCCCAAGTCACACCAGCTAAACATCTTATAATATTTAAGCCCTTAAGAGAGTTAGTTATAATGTGATTGATGTGTAAATTAAAACAAAGTTTGTTATCAATGACAACACCCAGGAATTTATGGTTAGATACAACTGAAATTGGATGATTATTGTAGAGTATGCCATTAGAGGGAAAATCTTTACTAAAAATCATGGCCTTGCTTTTGTTAGGGTTAATCTGTAGAGCCAACTTGTCATTATAATATATGTACAATTGCTCTAAAGCATTATTTATACTATTTACAGCTCTATCTACATTATGGTCTGTACAATATATTACAAGATCATCCGCAAATTGTAAAATATTTACACCTTCTATATTTACAAAATTAAGAATTTGACTAGTGTATATGTTGTACAACAATGGAGATAATGTAGCCCCCTGCATTGTACCTTTGGAGACCCTTCTGGGACCATGGAGAATATTATTATGCCTTATATACAAAGTTCTATCTATTAGAAAATTAAATAACCATTGGCAAAGTATGCCTGGTATACCAATGTCAGAAAGAACTTGAACCAAAATGCCAGGATCTACATTATCAAACGCACCTTCAATATCCAGAAAAACACAAACACTGGACTTATTATTATTATTGGCATATTTCAGATCTGACAAGAGAGAGATGAAGCTGTCAGCACAACTTCTGCCTCTCCGGAAGCCATATTGAACATGTGGAATGATGTTGTTCGCCTCTACATAACACTCAAGACGCATCTTTAACATGTTTTCATTAAGCTTTCCAACACAAGATGACAAAGATATAGGACGATATGAATTAGGATCTTCAGGTGGCTTGTCAAGCTTAAGTAGAGGGATTACACACTGTGTTTTCCAAGATTCAGGAATTTTTTTTAAGTGCCAAAGAGCATTAAGATTAGCTAATAGTTTCTTTTGTACGGACTGATTTAGGTTTTTGATCAAAATGTATGGACAATTATCTAAACCAGGGGTTGTGTTTCGTCTGGATTGTAAACTTGTACAAAACTCACTCCAAGTAAAGGGTTCTATGAGGAAACTGGACTTCTGAAGACTATTATTAATTTGAAAATAACTTTCTAGATTATCAATAACCCTACATCCATTTCGAGATAATTTGTCTAAAAGAGGGACTACAAATTCGTCTTTATATGTTCTATTATTGCATTTTATTCGTTTAAATAACTTGATGTATTTCCAAATAATACTAACAGGTGTAGTTCTGTTAAAAGTATTACAAATGTTAGCCCAACCATTGCGTTTATGTTCTGAAATAGTCTTTTTCTTAACAGCATTAAGTCTTTTGTAATTAATGTAATTATCAATGGTTGGATCTCTTCTGTACAGTTTTAAAGCTTCATAAGTTTTAATAACACTCTGTTCACATGTGTCACTCCACCAAGGTGCTGGAGGTTTGCAACGATAGTTGTTTGCTTTGACAAACTTTGGCACAGTATCTCTCCTAAGTGTATCAAGCCTTTCAATAAATTCATCATATGACTGTAATGGATTCTCATTATTAACTTCAAAATTAGAAAAAGCAGTTATAGACAGCTCATTGTATTTTGTCCAGTCTGTCTTGTTGTATAAGAATTTTTCAATGGGAGGATTAATTTGGTATCTATCAACTGACAATGAAACACGAGTAAGCGTAGGAAAATGATAGCTCCCCATACAATCATCATGCACCCACCATTCGCATAGTGGAGTGATTGAAGCACTACAAAAGCTGACATCAATAGCCGATGGATTTCGGTTAGGATAATTAATAGTAGTGAAGCTACCATTGTTGAGGACACATAGATCAAATTCATCAATTAAATCGTATAACTGATGACCCCGACTTTTCGTGGTCATACACCCAAATGCCACATGGTGAGCGTTGAAATCTCCAGCCACATATATTGGCTTAGGCAAATCTCTAATTATATCACGCAGTTTACTTATTCTGAAGTTACCATTCGATGGAGGGCAGTATACACATAAAATCGTTAATTGTTTACCACTTACATATAACAATAATGCCACAGTCTGAATGTCTTGGTAAAATCTGGTTTGAATAATATTATATTTAAAATATGGTTTGATCAAAATTGCTACTCCACCATGCTCATTTTGGGCATTATGATAGTGGAAATTATATCCCGAAATGTTAAAATGCTGAGTATCTTTCAGCCAAGTTTCATTGAGTAGACATATATCAACATTTTTCTCATCTAAAAATTTAGACAATAAGGATTTTTTCCTATGTATACTTTGAATATTGTACTGAGCTATACATAACTGCTGTATGTTCTGTACTGTACTGTCCATTATTGTGACAGATTTTTTAAAAGTAAGTCTTTAATGAACAGTGTAGTCACAGGTTCATTATCTGTTTTATTACCTAATTCGACTAAAGTTTGGACCATTGCCATCAAAATATTCTTATTGTTTGCAATTTGAGCCTTAAGTTGAGTTTGGTTCAAGTTGGGTTCAGGCACTGTTTTATTTACATTATTTACAATTTTTACATTTTTATTTAATTTATGTACATTTTGGTTTATTGATGGTAAGGTCTTAACAATGCTGCTCGACTGTGCAGGTAAAGACGGAAAATCAGATGACTTAATTGTATTAGCTACAGAGGCATAAGTAATTTTACCCTTTTTTTCAAGTATTTTTTTCATTTTTATTGGGCAAGATTTGGAAATGGCCAGGTGGGGACCACTGCAATTGACACAACACAGGTTTTCTTTTTTATCACAGTCTCTGAAATTATGTTCCCCAGCACATATCGAGCAACGTTGTTTACCATTACAAATTTTCGCAGGGTGGTTGAACTTGAAGCACCGGAAGCATTGTTGTAACGGTGGAACATATTCAAACACCCTGAACGAAAATAGGTCATATTGGATGTTGTCGGGCAGAACATTTGATAGGAAAGTTATACTGACCGTCTCGAGACCTACAGTACTTTGACCGACTTTTTTCGTGAATCTTCTCACTGAAATAATTTCATAAATCGAAGACAGTTTCGTATATAATTCCTTGTTCGAAATGTTGGTAGGCACATATCGGATGATTCCAGTTTTTTCTATCTGCGCTGCAGGAATATGCGCCTTCAAGTTGTGCTTTGTTAAAAAGTCTGTATTTGTGATGAAATTATTTGCAGTGTTGTATTGTTTAAAAACAACCGCAATTTTGTTGGCATTGACTCTATGTAAAGCTACCACACCTTTCACCTCCGAAGTAAAAATATGATTTAAGTAAACTGGGCTTTTATTTCCAAGTTTAACCTGTTTGTCCTGGCTTTCAACAAAAACTTTGAAGTCCGTATTTGTACAATGTTCAGGATAAAGTCTCAGATAACCTGGCTTAAAAAACGGAATAAAGTCATCCTCACCGCCGCCTACTTCAGGTCCACTTTCCTTCGTACCTCTTTTACGAACAATTTTGGATCGTTTCGGGGTTCCACCTGGATCCTCCGGTTCATTCATTTTAACAATTTACAAAATGTACAATTATTTACACCGAACAGGATATTTTAACGATAAATATAAAAATTAAATCGACCGCATCGTTTGAAGTTCCCGCCAAAAAAAAAAAGATAGTTTGTGGAAGAGCGCTCCCAGTGTGACCATCTTTAAAATACAGATCCTGCCACACTTTGGTAAAAAACCTGCTAAATCCTGCCAAAATCTGTAATGAAAAAT